TTTGATATAGAACTGCTTAGTGCTTTTTATGAGATTTCTTTCCGTCAGTCACTATTTATTGCTATTACTCACTGAGTCGGAGTACTCATATTACTCCCAGCACCATGTGTGCAGATACAGGTATTCCGGAGGCGTAGATTGAGTTGTCTCTGCTGTTCAGATCTCACCGGAGTCATCGAGGTAGCTGCATGGCGTCCGCAGACCCGATTTCTCCCTCTATCCTCTTTACTTTCGGTATTTTAGACTATCTTTTGTTTAGGCTGTTTCTCAGACTTGTATTAGAGGCTCTTGACTCGTGACACCAGATCGGTGAGATTTGTAGTGATATTTCTTGATTTCCGCACATTCTATCTACTGTTACAGATTTATAATCATGTTAATTTGGTATTTAAACTCTGTTAATTGGTAATGAACTCTATATGAGGGATTGAGAGTGTTGAATTGGTTGGGCTTGCCTAGCACTGTGTTGGGCGCCATCACGACCGGGGTTGGGGTCGTGACAAGAAGAGAAGCTGAAAGTGTGTAATTTCTTAGCTAATTTGAAGGTTCCTGATGCCTTTTCATCGAATATTTCTAGGTGTGTCAAGGTTGAAGAGAAAAAGATACATGGATTAAAAAGTCATGATCACCATGTATTATTGGAGGATATTTTTCCATTAGCAATTTATGGTGTGTTGCCTAAGGAAGTGAGTGAACCAATTATCGAAATAGGAAAAATTTTCAAGAATTTATATTCTAAGTGCTTGACAATTGAAGATCTTGATATCTTAGAGGCTGAAATTGCTATCACATTGTGCAAGTTCCAAATGGTTTTTCCTCCTGCGTTTTTCGATGTCATGGTTCATTTGCCCATTGGCAAGAGAGGCAAAACTAGGTGGACCAATTCAATATCGATGGATGTACCCTTTTGAAAGGTAACGTGTTATCCTTTAAATTTCAATATTATAATTTCAGAATGTCACATTGTTTTTAACTAGTCATTTGTATACAGGTATTTGCGAATACTTAAGTCGTATGTTCGCAACTATGCTCGTCCTGAAGGCTCAATTGCAGGAGGTTATTTGGCAGAAGAGAGCCTCACATTTTGCTCGCGTTACTTAAAGAATATCTTAACCAAGTTCAATAGGCCAGCTAGGAATGATGATGAATCTCTGTCACATGGTGTGATATCTATCTTTAAAAATAGTGGACGAACAAAAGGTGGTTCAGATCCCGCCCCGCTATCTCGTGATGAGTTAAACCAAGCATCCATATATGTGCTTCAAAATTGTGAAAAAGTTTGGCCGTTCCTTGAGTAAGTTTCTGGAGAACTTCAAGATAATTTTGTATTAGGATAGTTCAATTACATTTTCCTAACTAACCCATTATTAAAATGTAGGGAACACACCGGAGAGATGGAAAGACAAAGTGCAATAGGGGATGGAAGGCATAACAATGACTTTTTTGATTGGTTTCGTGCACATGTAAGTGATGAATAAAATGACATGTTGAATATTAATGTTATTATCACATATGTTATTGATTATGAGAGTATTGTTTGTCTTTTGTAGATCTTACAACTATCTGCACAAGGACATGCAAATGATGATCTCATAAGCTTAGCACTCGGTCCTGGACCTCTAGTGCTTCGATATTCCACATTAATGGTGAATGGATTTAGATTTCAGACAAGAGATATAGAGTCGAGAAGAAAAACATAGAATTGTGGAGTTCTTGTTAGAGGAGATGATTCAGACTCAACAAAGGAGTATTACGGTATATTGGAGGACATTTACGAGTTATCTTATGTGGAAAATAAGAAAGTTTACCTCTTCAGGTGTCATTGGTGGGATGTGGCTCACTTAGGAAAAGGATATAAGATTGACAAATATGGCTTCACAAGTGTGAATACTCGTTGTGCCTTGAATACAAATGAGCCATTTGTGTTGGCATCTCATTGTGAACAAGTTTTCTATGTGGACGACATGTCTAACAAAGATTGGCTTGTTGTTGTGAAGACAAATCCTTGTGACCTTTTTAATATGCCTGAAAAGGATATTAATTCTACAGAAATTGAAGATGAAGTATTACCGAGTGAAGATGCTTATCAACAAGAGCAAGTTGAAATTAATACATTGCGCATTCATGCTCAAGAAATTGATATTGTGGTGTCCTTAAACAGGGATGATGTTGAATCACAAATTATTGATTATAACCAAGCGACTGAAGCTCAGACAATTTTGCATAATGAGGACGATGGTTTCATCAATGACGATCACATGGATCTGTATAATAGTGAAAAAAGCGATGAAGAGTTACTTGATGATAACGATGGAGAGGACACCGTCATAGATGATAGGGATATGGAGTGACCAAATAGATAGCTTTAGTGTTTCTTTCTATGGATTCTTATCAGTAGCTTCTTTATCCCCCTTATTATTCTTTAATTCAATGAACCTTCATCTTAATTACTACCTTTAATATACTGGAATATCCCTTTTACTTTTATATGTGATGATGACTTGAATTTTATAGCTTTGCTAAGATTCTAAATGTACATATACAACAGTTGTTGAGTTTAAGAATGATAGAAATCTCAATAGTGGCACGATCCTTTACCAGACAGACATGGATCTTCACCAGAACTTTGATTTTTATTTTCATATTTTTTATTTTGAGATATTGTAAGAAATGGTAGGATTTGGACGAGGTAGAGGTGCACGAGGTGGACGTGGAGGTAGTCGTGCAGGTGGCAGTATTGGAGTTCATGACAGTTCTACAGCGACGTCATCCTACAGGGCTAATGCACCATTGACAAGGCTTGAGCGTTCTTCTCAACCACAAGCATCTCGGGTACAAGCATTTGCACCTTCAGAGATCAGACATTCAATTCAACCTTGTCAAGAACCTAATGGATCACAGTCATCAAGAATTATTGTCGAAAGTGCGCATCCCACTGTAGAAACTGAAAGTGCTGCAGGTTAGTTCTCTCAATCTTTCTGTTAACTAATTAACAACTCAATTTGTTTAGTATTTTTTGCAATACTGGTGAAAATCTTAAGACAGACATGTACTATATTAATTCGTTTAATGTGCCAAGAGATGGAATATTATTGGAGATGTCTACAACTCACATATTAGTTTCTGTTAAAATAATGTTGTAAATAGTGCTCGCCTCAGCGCTAATAGCGTGAGGCGTAGCGATGCGAGACTCCATCGCTTTTCTGATGTGTTGCGTTGCATTTTACAAATAGCGCTCGCCTCTGCCTGTGTAGCGAGAGGCAACACTGTAGCGAGATGCTATTGTAGCATTGCTTTTTAAAAAAAAAAAAGAAACAACGCAGGGATTAAAGAAAACGACTTGCGATTATGCTCTGTGTTCTGTCTTTCTTTTTGTTCTTCAGTTCTTCTTCTCTTCTTCTTTCTTTTTTTTGCTCTATTTTTTGTTTTTCAGTTCCTTCACAGCTTCACTTTGGGCAGAGATAGAGAGTATGTATATGAATCGAAAGTACGCCTGCTGCAGAGAATAATTTCACTAGTCGCCTGCTGCGATTTTTTGTGTGCTTGTGCAAGCAGTACATTCCTTCTAAGAATAGGACATTTGGTGAAAACAACTCCTTCTAAGAATATTTTCATCAGATTCCTTCAGTTGCCTTGTCCATGAATTTAATTTGTTGCAAGTGAGATGCATCAAAAGTTGCTGAAAGTTGGAGATGCTGCATAATTTTGTGCCTATGAAGGTCATGTGTCGTTTTATGTGGCTTTTCATTTTCCGAATTCCAATCTTGCTAATGTTCTTAAGATCTAAATATTCCTAACTCTTTTAGAGGCCAGGAGATCAAAAGTACTGCTTGCTTCTGACTGTTAAATAATACTGATTGTTGAATACGAATTTTACTACTGCTTGCTTTTGAAGCTAAACAATTGCAGCAGCTCATCATTAAATAGTCCTATTCTGGATGCTATATGATTGTTAAATATATATTCTTTTGCGCGCAGCTTCTTGCAACAAATCCAAGAAAGGGAGAGGGAGATACAAATCTTTACTTGTAGATTTGAAAACTAAGCATGGTAGTAAAATTCCTATTGTCATTCCAGATGACATTGAGAGAGCTGTAGGTCCCGGGTCTAGGGACATTGTTAACTATTGTGGTTTGATTATGCGCAACACTATCTCATTCAGAGATGGTGATTGGCAAGAAATAATCACAAAACATGGAGATGCGATGTGGTTGAAGGTTAAGGTAATAATTTATTAATAAAGGTTCTATCGACTTTTTATCACACGTTTTATTTACTCTCAAAAGCTTTTCGTATTTGCATTTAGGATAAATTTGAAGCTACCGGAGTTCGAGAGCATGTATTGCAAGATCTTGTGGTCAATACTATGAAAAGACTTTTTAGAACATGGAAGACTCGATTGCATGCTGAATACTCTCGCTATGCTACTGATGAAGAGAGATTATCTCATAGGCCAAGTGATGTTACACCTGAGGATTGGGTGTTTCTGGTAGGACATTTTGGAAGTCCGGAATTCAAGTTAACTTGGTAATATAAATATGTGACAAATTACTATTTCAATTCTGGTTCTTAATTTATGGATATAATTTCAGGCTGTGAGTGAGCGAAACAAAATAAACAGGGGAAAACAAATCACTAAACACTCATGTGGCTCAAAGTCATTTGCTGAAGTGGAGGAATCAACGGTACAAATTCATTTAGCACAATAATATTTCATATATTTGTCATTCTTTTTTGGGTCGGATTGGTTTTGATCAATGATCATATAATTAATATCAGCTTGCTTTTTTGTCAGCAAATTAAACTAATAAGAAGTACTTATAATTCTGGAAGATAACATGGTAGCTTTACGCATCTGATCATCAATCAGCTAGATATTATAGGAATGTTTCTCAAAAATCAGGAATTCTTGATAGAGCTAAAAAAGAGGGGAAAATGGAAAGTGGTAAAAATATGACAGCATACTGGATCATCCCCTTCAGTTAGAGCTTCCATTATACTTAAGTAGTGGTACATTCTTGATTCTCAGATTCACTTGCAGCTTCATCTGTAGCTTCATCATTTGAACCTTTGGTCTGATTTGCCTTTTGTCTTTCAAACTCCCTTAATTTATACAAGTACCTCAACATGACCTCGACATAGTTGCCAAAACCTAATGAACTGAGAGCCCAACAGATGTCATGTCCATTAAACGTCCTTCGATTCTCCTTGTGACGCTTGTCAGATGCTTCCCCAGTAACAAAACTTATAAACTCTGATGCACATTCTTGAATTGTCTCTTTAGCTTCTTTGCAGATTTTGGCAGTTGGTGGTAGGATTTGTTTCATTATCCTTCCCACATTATGTACTTAAATAGTTTTCCTCTACTTTAATAAATCGTAGAGAAATCCTGTTAATGGACAAAAGGCACCACCGGATCGAGTTTGGGAGCTCCAACATACTCATAAGAATGACAAAGATGAACTGGTGTGGTCAGATCCAGAGTCGCAGCAAATTCATGTAATCTCCTGAAATTGTGTTTTATTTATTTTATTTTATGTCTCCTATTTTATATCATAAATTGTTATGCATAATTGCAGGGGCAGCTCCAAGAAATTGTGGAGCAACAACAATTTTTGAAGAAAATCCGACAAATGCAGATGAGATTTTAGTCACCGTACTTGGCGAACGAACTGGCTATGTTCGTAGGAAAGGGTACGGAAAAAGACCTGCAAAAAAGAGTCGAGTGCAGCAGGTTGAATTGGAAGAAAGTATGTCTTCTGCAATGGAAAGTATGCGTCAAGATATGCAAGCTGAAATGGACAGAAAATTACAAGAAGAACGTGAACAAGTTGCTGAGTTGCAAAGAAAGTTAGAAGAACAAATGGCTGCTGAATTGTCACGGAAGCTAGAAGATGGTCGTTTTGAGTTACAAAGAAAGCTAGAAGAAGATCGTGCCGAGTTGCAAAAGAAACTAGAAGAGGAGCACGCACACATGAATCTACAACTTGACAAAGATTTAAAGAGCAGATGGCTACGATGATGGCTAGAATTCAAAAGGTAAATGCTAATGTTTCTATACTCTACAAATGTACTATACAACTGTTAATACAATGCTGCTAGTTTCATTTCACATATTAGTTTCTGTTAAAGTATGTATATGAATCGAAAGTATAAAAATTCAGATTACAACTACTAACATACTCAGAAACCTTCAACACTACAAAGTATAAAAATTCAGTTCATATAGCCTCTCTATAATCGCAACTCTCTGTTCTGTATAATGTATAATGTGACCGTTGCGCAAAATTGGCACAGCTCATGCAGCTAATTTGTCAATCCCCTTGCTCATTTGAGTTATTGTTCATGATTCAGCTATTGAAGCCCAATGGAATTGGTTTTTTTTAAAAGTGTCAAAGTATGTGGCATCGCTAGTAAGCGCGTTTTGATTTCCATTTTATTACTCTGCTCATCTCGATCTAGCATGAAATACATGTTAATGAAAACTGATACAATCAATTGACGAGCATATTTTAACTTGTACTTTTATACTAACTACTCGGGACTAAGCTTGAAACAGAATCTAGTCTGAACTCTTATTGCATACATTCTTTCCATCTCGTGTTTCTGTAANTAGTTTCTGTTAAACTGAGTGCGGAACGGACGAATTAGATTCAGGGCTAGAAAACTTGCTATGATCACCACAAATCAGTAAGTACAATTCAGAATCCTAACCCTTTCTCTAAAGGTTAATTGTTATGTGGCCTATTCTTCTGCCATCAGTTTGGCTAATTACTGTCTTTAACTTCTAATATTTCATAGCTTAAGAAGATAGTCTTATATATACCTGTTTCTTTTAGAGCAAAAAAGTACACAACATGAACAAAGAACCATTAGCGATCCCTTGAATCATGTGAAAACAACATTCTGCTCACATAGCTGCTCACATTATCAGCAGACACAAATGGATGTTAGAATATAAGGTGACCAATTGTTCTTCAGTTCTTCTTCTCTTCTTCTTTCTTTATTGCTATGTTTTTTGTTTTTCAATTCCTTCACAGCTTCACTTTGGGCAGAGACAGAGAGTATGTATATGAATCGAAAGTACGCCTGCTGCAGAGAATAATTTCACTAGTCGCCTGCTGCGATATTTTGTGTGCTTGTGCAAGCAGTACATTCCTTCTAAGAATTGGAGATGCTGCATAATTTTGTGCCTATGAAGGTCATGTGTCGTTTTATGTGGCTTTTCGATTTTTCGAATTCCAATCTTGCTAATGTTCTTAAGATCTAAAGATTCCTAACTCTTTTAGAGACCAGGAGATCAAAAGTATTGCTTTCTTCTGACTGTTAAATAATACTGACTGTTGAATACGAATTTTACTACTGCTTGCTTTTGAAGCTAAACAATCGCAGCAGCTCATCATTAAATATTCCTATTCTGGATGCTATATGATTGTTAAATATATATTCTTTTGCGCGCAGCTTCTTGCAAAAAATCCAATAAAGGGAGAGGGAGATACAAATCTTTACTTGTAGAGTTGAAAACTAAGCATGGTAGTAAAATTCCTATTGTCATTCCAGATGACATTGAGAGAGCTGTAGGTCCCGGGTCTAGGGACATTGTTAACTATTGTGGTTTGATTATGCGCAACACTGTCTTATTCAGAGATGGTGATTGGCAAGAAATAATCACAAAACATGGAGATGCGATGTGGTTGAAGGTTAAGGTAATAATTTATTAATAAAGGTTCTATCGACTTTTTATCACACGTTTTATTTACTCTCAAAAGCTTTTCGTATTTGCATTTAGGATAAATTTGAAGCTACCGGAGTTCGAGAGCATGTATTGCAAGCTCTTGTGGTCAATACTATGAAAAGACTGTTTAGAACATGGAAGACTCGATTGCATGCTGAATACTCTCGCTATGCTACTGACGAAGAGAGATTATCTCATAGGCCAAGTGATGTTACATCTGAGGATTGGGTGTTTCTGGTAGGACATTTTGTAAGTCCGGAATTCAAGGTAACTTGGTAATATAAATATGTGACAAATTACTATTTCAATTCTGGTTCTTAATTTATGGATATAATTTTAGGCTGTGAGTGAGCGAAACAAAATAAACAGGGGAAAACAAATCACTAAACACTCATGTGGCTCAAAGTCATTTGCTGAAGTGGAGGAATCAACGGTACAAATTCATTTAGCACAATAATATTTCATATATTTGTCATTCTTTTTTAGGTCACATTATGTACTTAAATAGTTTCCTCTACTTTAATAAATTGTAGAGTAATCCTGTTAATGGACAAAAGGCACCACCGGATCGAGTTTGGGAGCTCCAACATACTCGTAAGAATGACAAAGAACAACTGGTATGGTCAGATCCACAGTCGCAGCAAATTCATGTAATCTCTTGAAATTGTGTTTTATTTATTTTATTTTATGTCTCCTATTTTATATCATAAATTGTATGCATAATTGTAGGGGCAGCTCCAAGAAATTGTGGAGCAACAACAATTTGAAGAAAATCCGATGAATGCAGATGAGATTTTAGTCACCGTACTTGGCGAACGAACTGGCTATGTTCATGGGAAAGGGTACGGAAAAAGACTTGCAAAAAGAGCCGAGTGCAGCAGGTAGAATTAGAAGCAAGTATGTCTTCTGCAATGGAAAGTATGCGTCAAGATATGCAAGCTGAAATGGACAGAAAATTACAAGAAGAACGTGAACAAGCTGCTGAGTTGCAAAGAAAGGTAGAAGAACAAATGGCTGCTGAATTGTCATGGAAGCTAGAAGATGATCGTTTTGAGTTACGAAGAAAGCTAGAAGAAGATCGTGCTGAGTTGCAAAAGAAACTAGAAGAGGAGCGCGCGCACATGAATCTACAACTTGACAAAAGATTTAAAGAGCAGATGGCTACGATGATGGCTAGAATTCAAAAGGTAAATGCTAATGTTTCTGTACTCTACAAATGTACTATACAACTGTTAATACAATGCTGCTAGTTTCAACACTACAAAGGATAAAAATTTAGTTCATATAGACTCTCTATGATAGAATTTTCTCATAGCAGTTGAAGCATATCTTTAAGATTGCGCAAAAAAAAAAGGAATTATGTGTGATCTAATATTTCTGTTAATTCAAAAGATGCACATCACAAGGATGAGTAATCATAAGAATTTCAAATGTTAGGAAACCTCTACCAAATTCATTTGCAGCTTTTGAAAAACCTAAGATGCCTGATGACAGAAACAAACTTCTAAGAGGAAGACACCATTCACGCATTAAGGAAGTAGCTCTATATATTGACAGCTAAGCTAGATGCTCAAGCCTCTCAGCATACAGTTCACGAACTCAGTAAAGGTTAGCTTCTTACTAAAATCGAGAGAAGTGTGTCAGTTATCAACTGCCATACTTCGGGATCTAAATGTATCATAATACACTGCTTAAAATACCGCAATTCTGCTACTTCAGGGTACCTTTTTGCTACTTCAGGGGACCTTTTTGCTAGAGAGTTTCTGCTGCTACATATTTGCCCTTAGCTCTATAAACTACCAATTCTAATTCATCGCTTCAATATACAAAACCTGTTTATGCCTTGCCGTTTAAGATATTAAACAACACTTAAGTAGATAGTTCAAACTTAAAAAATATGTGAGTGCAACTCTCTGTTCTGTCAAGCAAAGGGAACATGAAAATCAGTGATGACACTCCATTTGGATAGTTTGTCTTTAGTATACAGTTTTCCATGTAAATTCTCCTAGAGACTTTGTTCTTGACTTAAAGAAGCCTGCTACATTGTTAACTTTTTTTTTACTAATGTCTTTGAAGGTTTAAGTCATGCTTGCTTTCTAACAGTTAGGTTGCATGACTTGAGGATTTTCATTCAATAATGGTTCAAGTGTAAAGAACTTATTATCCGTGTATAAAAATTGTCATTGTTGATAAGCTATACATTAATCTACTATCTTTGAGTCCTCTGCTAACATTTGGTTATAGTTTAAGATTGATATTGTCAAGAAATGTTCTTAGCCATGAAGCTATTTTAGCTTCCAAAACTGGATTTAGCTGCTCTTATAAATTGAGTATTGATTGTTTATCTTTGCCTAACTCTTGAACAGAACTGAACCGAGATCTCTTAAGTTAATTTTGAATAATTAGTTAATTTTGCCGATACTAGTTACAGCTAACTCCATGATCCTAGTTGAGAATGCACATGCTTTTTGGGATATTCTGGGGGAGGGTTCTAAATTTTTAGAAGAGACGGTTGCTATTCTAGACGATATTATGCATGAGTGGTTAGATTAGCATATCAGCTATCTATACTTATAGTATAAACCTCTTTGT